TTCATTGATTAGGTTAAGGGTATGTGTGGGCGTAGCTAATTATGGGAGAAGCTACAGTGCTATATAAGGTATGTACTCTATGTATTCAGTACTCAGATCTTTGCTGTTTTTGGTGGCATAAGTCCCTCTGAGTCCCGGTCGGTGAATCAAATAAAGATCTCTTCCTTCCTGAAGAAACCTGTGTCCATCTCTCTGTGCTTGGCCTCCGTCAGTTTCCCGGTAACATCTTTGGTGCATTGGCCGGGAAGCTCATCGTTAACGGTGGCTAGGAAGCAGAGGCGTGAGACGGTCTATCTTTGCCCACGTTCTCTACGGCTGCACCCCTGAACTTCTGCGTGGACCTCCCTTCGTCTCGTCTGTTGTCCAGGAGATCATCGGCCTCTACGTAGTAAGTACTGGGGTGTCCCCGTCGATGTGTGTGAACTCAGGTTCAGGAACGAGGAGGTAAGACGACTACTGTTTTAGACGGTGGACCCACTAGGGGTATTGGATACCGATTGTGCGGTAGGCCCATAAGGGGTTTGAATTGGAATTGTGTATGGAATTGGCCCCCTCCAGGGAGGGGAGGAGCGAAGGCGCACCGCTCATAATTAGACGCCCTGTAGTCAACCCGTCTAATCTTGGTATGGGGTCTTGGTTGAATGTATATAGCCCAAGCCGGACACCGGTGTCTTGTCTAGACTAGCGTATATAGGGTGTACATTTCATTCGCTAGGTCAGAGGGACCGGGAGACTAAGCAGACTCTGGTGTACATTATCGTTTGCTAGTTCTCAACCTATCTTGGCTAAGTGGGAAGGCGTGTAAATTTGGAACCCACTAGACTATTGATAGAGTAGATAGACTAAAAGGGTATTGTAAATTCCACCCTCTTGTTCGCTATATGTGGTGCTTGGGCAGCGACGGCTAACCAAAACGGATGTAAATAGTTTTAGGTAGTCCCTCGAGGTACTGTCCAATAGATTAGTTGGGAAACTGTAAATGTGTTAAAATTTATTATAGTAGAGTGTATATCTTGCTGGGTAGCGTGAGCTCTGCCGTCTAGCGAGAGTGTGAATAGTGTGTAACTGTATCATAGCGCACGGTACCATAACCATGTATTATAATCACTGATACTGTAAATAATCACTAATAACTGTCGTTTATGTTGTATGTTTAACACCATAACTACTATTAACTGACCTGTGACTTTAAAATTGTATTCTAACCAATGCTAACCGTACTATAACTACTGTTTGTAAAGACGATGTTACTAGGGTGTGTTATAGACGGGTAATTTAAACATTGAGAATTATAGCGTGGGTAATTGTATAATTTCACCAAAAAAGGTACAGTAATAGTTATTTAGTGTGTGGTGTAACAGCTGTGTGTGTACGGGAATTCCCTGTATGATTTGTTGTGTGCATTTGGCCTAGTAACTGTGCCACGTGGTGCTGTTGCCAAGGGAAACGGATGTGACTGTTGGAAGTGTATTTTGTTTTGTTTCTATTGGAGACGACGCTCCATTGTTAAGTATGGGTGCGTTGGATTCAAAGATCGTTGATCCTTTAGATTGCATGTTAAAGAATTTAAAAAAGGGATATAATGTATGTGATTTTGGGGTAAAGATGTCTCCAACACGTTTGACTACTTTATGTAGCAGGGAATGGCCTGCCTTAGTGGTTGCATGGCCTCCACGTGGTAGTCTTGATCTTAATCTAGTGCAGCGTGTACACGTAGCTGTATCTGGTAGGCCGGAACTGTACGACCAGTTTCCATATATTGATTGTTGGAAACAGGCCGTGGATGACTTGTCAAAATGGATCAGGGTGTGCCAAGAGGAGCAATGCCGCCTCCTGTTGGCCAGAACTAGTTTGTCCTCTACAGGAAGAGGAGGTGCGGCTAGTAATGCCACTCCCCTTGCCCCATTGTCTCCTCCTACCCCATCCTCTAGCTCAGAGCCTAGCCCACTTGTTCTAAACCCTCCCCTTCCGGTACCTACCCCCACTAACTCCACCTATCCGGATTTGATGTCATTTCTGGTTCCTGGTCAGGCTCCTCCCAGCCTGGCCTGGAATATGCTGCTTACCAACCTCCCCTTCAGTAAAGAAAAAGCGTCCCCCTCCCCTCGTCTTACTACCCCTCGACCGGAACCCATAACTGACCTTCCTCAACGAAGCCCCATACTAACCCGACAATTGATCGGTACCCTCCAACCCCGACATTATCAAATGCCTCTCCGATTGACACCGGGCCCGACACACATTAATGGTGAAGGCCAGTTACAACATGCCGACCCCGTATTTGTTTATGTTCCCTTTACCACTACGGATTTGTTCAACTGGAAAACCCATAACTCCTCTTACACAGACAAACCTCAAGCCATGACAGATTTGATTACCTCCATAATCCAAACGCACAATCCCACTTGGGCTGACTGCCAGCAATTGCTTATGACATTGTTTAATAACGAGAAAAGGAATCGGATTAATCAGGCGGCAATTAAAGCGCTTGAAGAAGTGGCCCGTGCACAGAATCAGGCCAACCCGGTAGCATGGGCCGCAGCTCATTACCCAAACGTAGATCCGAATTGGAATGTTAATGGTGCTGATATGGCTCTCCTAAAAGCTTATAGGGAAGCCATTATTACTGGCATGAAAGCCGGAGGGAAAAAGGCTATCAATATGTCAAAGACGGCTGAGGTATTGCAGAAATGTGATGAGTCGCCCAGTGCCTTTTATGACCGATTATTGGAGGCATACCGATTGTTTACCCCCTTTAGTCCAGAGGCTCCTGAGAATTCCCAGATGGTTAACTCTGCCTTTGTCAGCCAGGCTTACGGAGATATTAAAAGAAAATTGCGGGGGCGTGGCCTGGACGTGAACGCGAGCGGTCGCATGCTCAGCTAGCTCCGCGAAAGTTAAGGCCCTCATGCAGCATTGACGACCCGAAACTGCAGCAAATTGAACATTGGGACACACCATCACAATGTCTCACAACAAAAGCAAACGGGCATCCGACAAACAAGGCAAACTGCTTTTTTTTAGTGCCAAACAGGGGCACACGCGAGGAGCCACTATACCGGAGGAACAACAAGATGGCGCCGACTTGGAGGGCACACGAGGTATGCAAAATGAGACCGCAAACCTCATACTCACCACAGAGGGTCTGCAAGCGATGTTCGATGATATGGCGGCAAAGCTACAGGGCACGCTGCAGCGCTCGTTCACAGACCTCCGCACGGATATACACAAATTGAGCTCTCGTACCTCAGACCTGGAAAACCAGATGGAGGCACAAATGGAGGCGCAAACCCGCCAAACCACCAAAGTGGAAGAAGCATGGGACCGGCTGAATGACTATGAGGCCAAGATTGCGGACATGGAAGACCGCGCGCGTCGCAGCAACTTGAGGCTGCGGAACGTGCCTGAAAATATAGGCCCAGCGGATTTGCCCGCATACGCCACGGGGCTCTTCCACATGCTGGTACCGGATCTACCGCAAGATGTCCTGTTGCTGGACCGCATACACAGGGTAGCGAAACCCTCATACTTACCTGCAGACATACCGCGGGACATAATATTGAAGATGCACTACTATCATGCAAAGGAGGCGGTTCTCAAGGCGAGCAGAGTCCGAAAAGAAATACCACCGGAATATCAGAAGATTGGGATCTTTGCAGACATCTCGGCCATGACGCTACGAAAAAGGAAGTCCTTCGGCACCATCACAGAAGCCCTACGCAGCACCAACATAGCATACCGATGGGGATATCCGACTAAACTTCTCATCCAACGCAACGGCGCTCTCACAACCATCGTGTCCCCGGAGGAAGGCCTTCAAAAGCTGCAGGAATGGGGTATCACTCCACCTGCTGAGAGACCAAGACCTGCACCCAACGGGCGACAACCCTCAGCCTGGAAGAAGGCACGAAAATAGCCATCTGAAAGCGACACTCCAATGAACTTTACTAATGCCCGCAAGTATATCTTGTTCATGCACTACTAACAATCACATTGCACATCCAGCCCATGTCGCACTAAATAATTTGTAAATATAGCTACCAGACTAGCTACACAAGGTCAGGGTAAAGGGTGGGGGTTCTGATATACCACACACACTGTGAACTGTTAACCAAGGGACAAGCAGACCTCCACCACAGCCTGTACATGATCCCTTCCACACCGTACTACCAACTGATAGAAAGGGGGTGAAAAATAAAAAAATAAAAATAAATAAATAATAATATAAAATATATAAACAGCCCCAACACGTACGGTACGGAAAGGCAAACATAAGCATAATACCCAAACACGACCCGGAGGCCACTTACTACTAAAGCTGGCTGGCTTACCATATATAAAGTTCTCAATGTACAGACGCGATACCGTGAACGGGTCAACAAACAAACGAACACACCAATACACATCATGAGGGCCGCCCTCGCGGCAGCACCCTAACCAGAATCGAAGCGATACGCTCTGACCCCCACGGTTCCCCTTATGGGAACCTTGCCATAAACCTGGCATTTTTGCTCAAGATTGTATATATGTTCGAACTCTGCCAGACAGAGGATTCAATAACCCCTAATTGTACTGTTAGATTCGCCCCCCCCCCCAAACCACCCCCCCACCTCAGGGCCTAGTGGGCGGCCCAAACACGCTACCTAACTTCTACACCTCAGCATGGCAGGAGCTCCTCCCACCGAAGAGGGACCTTGGGATGACATGCCCTACACTTAACCTAAGGGTCACAGCAATGGAGATCTGCCCGGCTCGAAACAGCTGGGGAGGGCAGAGACTCATGATAGATCAATACAAACTAAGAAAGAGCAACACTTTCCCATATATACCACCATAAAGTTTTACAGCCATAATGTGAGAGGACTCAACCTCCCAGTACAAAGGCACCTCTTGGGGAGGGACACTAGATGCTGACATAGTGTGTCTCCAGGAAACACATTTCAGAGGCAACACCCATCCCAGTATTTTGACCAAGTCACATCCTCACCAGTTCCACTCCACGTCTAACACCAAATCAAAAGGAGTCTCTATACTGATAAGTAAAAAGGTGGCTTTTGAACTGATAACTGAAGATACGGATAGGGAAGGCAGATATGTTATCGTAGTTGGGAACATAAATAATGCCTTATACACAATAGCTAACGTATATGCCCCCAACACCAATCAGAGGAATTTTATACACAAAATAATCTCCAGAATATCCAATATCAAACAAGGTACGACAATCATATGTGGGGACCTAAACCATGTTCTTAATCCGGCCCTGGACACTACACTCTCTCAAAATAGCCCGAGATACAAACCACTCAAGCGGCAAAGCGCAACACTGGCGAAACTACTGGCCCTGCACCATTACTAAGATTTTTGGAGAGTCACACACACAGAGGATAAGGAATACACCCATCACTCACAGGTCCATAACACCTACTCGAGAATAGACGCGATCCTGGTGGAGGGAGGGGCACTTGAGCAGATAGTGGACTGCAGAGTGGGTCAGATAGTATGGTCTAACCACGCTCCCATGGAACTAACATTAAGGGATACCTATGATTTTAAACACAGGAGTCCTTGGCGACGCAATGAAACCCTCCTGTTGGACAAGTCCTTCTCGGAGAGCGTTTCCGACTCCTTACGCCATTACTTTACAGATAACGCCAATCCTGATCTACAACACCACACAATATGGCAGGCCCATAAAGCGGTAACCCGGGGACTCCTTATACAGAGAGCAGCATACCTGAAAAGGAAAACGCAGACGCAGATATTACAATGGCAGAAAGACATATACACCCTGACATTACAGAACCAAGCCCGCCCCACGAACCAATTGAAAGAACAAATATCGAAGGTGCGCCAACAACTCCGCCAAAAGGCGCTCGACAGAGTAGGATACACCTTAAGGAAGTTAAAAGCTACACACTACTCACAAGGGAATAGAGCGGGTAAACTGCTAGCTTCAAGGTTGAAAAAACGACAGCAGACACAGAAAATAGCGTTTTTGCATTCCAAAACGGGGGGGAAGGTGATGACACCTCTCACAATTAGTAATGAATTTGCACGCTATTACGGGGACTTATACAACCTTCGACGAGACCCCACTATAAACCCCCGACAGATACAGACATAACGGAGTACTTAGATAAAGTAACTCTCCCGACCTTAACGTCTCAACAACAAGAAACACTATCTAGGCAGGTTACCCCAGAGGAGGTTTGCGATACAATAAGGTCACTACCAAAAGGAAAGGCCCCGGGCCCAGACGGATTCGCCAATTCATACTACAGGACAATTAAAGACATCTTAGCACCCTATCTAGCAGAAGTATTCAATGAAGCAGTACGCACAGAATCCCTCCCGGGGGAAATGCAATTGGCCCATATTATCACCCTACCCAAGCCGGGTAAACCTCCGACCCAGCCGCAAAACTTCCGTCCTATATCCCTTCTTAACACGGACACTAAAATCCTAGCCAAACTCTACGCATTAAGATTAGGACCAATACTGCCACATATTATACACAATGACCAAGTGGGGTTTGTAACAGGGCGCCAGGGGGCAGATAACACCAGAAAAGTCCTAAACCTTATGCAGAGCCTAGGGACAACACAGGCAGGGGGGGTCCTGATATCGTTAGACGCAGAAAAGGCCTTCGACCGGCTGGGATGGAGCTTTCTGGAGGCGGCCCTAAAGAGATACGGGATCCCGGGGAGCTTCATCTTGGTGGTGAGGGCGCTTTAC